AGGATCTTTTTATTAAATTACCAGTTAGGACATTTGGCCAAAGGGATATTTCTGATACAAAATGCTTCAGACAGCTACCTATTTTTTATTCAAAATCTGCTTTTTCTTATTGTTTTCCTTCATGTTGGTGCCTTTTTTTTTTCTTTAACTTGTGGCAAATTGGACATAACGTAAAAGGTACCATTGCACCATTTCTAACTGTATGATTCAGGGGCATTGAGGACCTTCACATTGTTTCAGAACGATCATCACCATCCCTCTCCAGAACTTTCTCATTAAACACTAACTCCCATTCTTCCCTCCCTCCAATCTCCCCGCAACTACCATTGTACTTTCTGTCTTTGTGAATTTTAACTACTCTTGGTACCTCGTAAAAATGGAATCATACAATAGTTGCCCGATTTATTTCATGTAGCATCATGTCCCCAAGGTTCATTCATGTTGTAGCACCTGTGCCTTAGTGGTTCTGATGGTTTCCAGCTCAAGAGGGTTGATATTCTTTCTGAAATCAATGAGAACTTCTTAAGGAATATAGGCATCTTCCTGTCACACAGAGACAAAATCTAGGCTCCAGGAAATAGGAGAAATTGGGGCCCACTGTGTCTTGTTGCAACTTATGTGTAACATGAACATTTCAAACCACAAATATACGAATCAATAAAGCATGTAGGTAGCTAAATATCACTTACAGTGCGGCACACTTGAGAGATGTAGGGTTTATACGTGATGACATAGTCTATCTGGGTCATAATGTAAGAAAAAGAATTTAAATTTATTCAAACATATAACTCAATATGAACTTAATTTAGAGGACGGCTATTTTTTTCAAGATTTATTTATTTATATTGGGGGGCAAATGCAGAGGGAGAGAGATTTCTTTTTTTTTTAATTTTTTATTTTTTATAAACATATAATATATTTTTATCCCCAGGGGTACAGGTCTGTGAATCGCCAGGTTTACACACTTCACAGCACTCACCACAGCACATACCCTCCCCAGTGTCCATAACCCCACCCCCCTCTCCCAATCCCCCTCCCCCCAGCAACCCTCAGTTTGTTTTGTGAGATTAAGAGTCACTTATGGTTTGTCTCCCTCCCAATCCCATCTTGTTTCATTTATTCTTCTCCTACCCCCTTAACCCCCCATGTTGCATGGGAGAGAGATTTCTAAGCAGACTCCCCACTGAGCATGGAGCCTGATGCGGGGCTCCATCCCAGGACCCTGAGATCATGACCTGAGCCAAAATCAAAGAGTCAAAAGCTTCACTGACAGCATCACCCAGGCACTCCATGGTACAACTTTTTTCTTAACTGGATAGTGAACTCCCACAAAAGAAAGCAATATTTTTGAATGCCTATAAGTGATGAGTTTCTTGCCACACCATCAACTCTTCTCCCTAAATCTCATCTCCTAAAATAGTGCAGCTGCCTTTGCTTCCTTTCCCCCATCATGTGATTGTTAGGAAGAACAGAAACTTTAGAGAGAGACTGTCTATAGAGAGAAGTGAATTTGGAAGTTTTAATATTCAGAATATTAACTTATTTAACAGGAAATTCAATTATGTACAAGGTACACTTGTGTTTAAAATAAACTTCAACTACCAGGAATGACTACTACTATTGGGGTCCAAGCAGATTTTCAGCCATCCTCATGCTAATCTTACAATTGCATTAAGTGGGATTTCCATTTCAGCTGTGTCTTAAAATTTGCATGGTTATTTTCCTAGCTGTAGAAGTATTTGATACAGGTTTTTGGAGAGTACATTTTTATGTTGATTGGTCTTCTGATTTAATTTTTTATCTTTTGACTTTTCAATTTTGAAATGATGTCAGGCTTACAAAATGGTTGTCAAACTATCTCAAAGACTTCCTATATAGCCTTTTCTCAGAGTCCCCAAACACTAACATCTTCCACAACCTCAGAACTAGAACAATGAACAACACCAGGAAGTGAACATTAATACAATACCACTAGCTAATCTACAGACATGATTCAAATGTTTGCAGTTGCCCCACTGGCGTCCTTTGGACCCAACCCCAGACCCCTGATTGCATGTGGAGTTCCTAAGCCCTTGGTTTTCTTTCATCTGAAACCTCTCCTAAGTCTTTATCTTTCTTGACTATAAAACCTTTTAAGAGATCTAACCAGTTATTTTCTAGAATGTTTCTCAGTTTGAGCTTGATGTCTCCTTGAGATCAAATCCAGGTCGTGCTTTTTGGCAGGAATACCATAGACGTGATTTTGTGTCATCCTCAGAGCATCACATTAGGAGACACTCGATGTCTCTTTGTCCCATTTACTGGTGAAGTGACTGAGGGTAAAATTACTTTCAATCACTTGCCTGAAACGGAAGCTGTCAGGTTTCTGCACTGTAAAATGACTATTTAGCCTTTTGTAATTAATAAGTGTGCAGATTTCTTTTAACTGTTAATCACAGAAAACCTGGAAATTATACACACACACACACACACACACACACACACACACACACATATATATATATATATATGGACAAGTCAACATACCCCCAGTTCCATTGCTTTTTCTTTTTCTCCTGTCTTAGTGCACAAGGTATGTAAGCCAATGCCCCTGCTTGCTCCTTAATATACTCTGTGTCTGTCTCTGTGCCATAATTTTCCCTTTTTGCAAGGACCCCAGTCTTCTTGGACTAGGTCACCTTAATGACACCTCCCTCATTGCTTCCGCAACAATCCCACTTCCCAATAAGGCCACATCCTAAGATACTGTGGGTTCAGACTTCAACATGTGAATGTAGGGGAGACACAATTCAACTCACAACAGTTCCAGTTTATACCGTACTCTTGTTAATCTGTATGATCAGCAAAGAATAGAGCAGCTAACCAAGGACCACCAAACTCAGGCCTTGTCCGAATCTCTTTTACCCTGGAAAACTGCTTGCTTAGGTGAGAAAAGTTTAGGCCCAAAAAGACCACAGCAACATTTATCAATTAATTTTAGAGAAACTCATACACCTAGGGACCTGGAGAGTCCTAGTGTGACATAGTCGCAGGCCCCTTCACTGTCATTGTCTCATTCCTCCTGGGGGACTTCATTTATCTACAGTTTTCTTAAAATGATGTGCTGGGACTGAATATGATATTAGCGATGTGACCTAAGTAGCCCGAGTCCACCCTGGACCATCATGTCCCTCGTTCTTGTGTTATTCTTCCGTTGTCCCCCACCTCTGTGTCTCATCTACTTCCTCTTTGAGAACTCAATGATCTTCCTGGAATTTAAGCCTATGGGTTGTCCTCCTGCTTGTCTCTGTGAAGCCGCATGAAGGATGCCCCCCCCCCCACAACACCCTTCCCAGCTGCTCAGCCCTTTCCCTGGTCCCACTCCCAGGAGCACGATGGCAGCTTCTATGTGGTAGGCGCAGCTTCCTCTAGTGTTGGGTAAAAATGCTCACTAAGCAAGTCTCTCTTCCTCCATGGCGACACCTGCCCGTGGATATGCTGAAGTTCTGTGTGGGGTGTAGTGGAGGCATCCTTTCCTGGCATTTTCTCCCCCACTTCTCTTTCCACTAAGTTGCAGGGGCATAGTGACTTTTGATTTGGACCCCACGCGCTGGCCACACAGTCCATTAGCCCAGCCATGGGCACTGAGCCCAGCTGGGCCAATGAATCCTTATTTGTGACTTTTTGAGAAAGAGGAAGTCGTACCAGTTTCTCCTTGGGTGCTGGACCATGGGTTATGCTGCTGTTGGCCACGTTTCCCACTCTGCAGAATAAAGAAGTGAAAACGTGCCAGGTTGCAGAGAGAGGATAAGAATCATATAATGAGCCTCATGTGATATTAACGGTCTGCCAGGCACTGTTCTGAACATTGGACATTTTAATTCATTGAACACTCCCAACCCATGAGGTAGGCTGATGATGTTGTAGTTACTGTTACTCCCAGACGTAAAGGCAAGAACAGAAGTAGACCGAGTGTCTAAGTGACTCTCAAGCCTCTTGCCCCAGTCATTCTTCTTTTTTAATTAATTATTTTTATTAACATATGATGTATTATTTGCCCGAGGGGTATAAGGTCTGTGAATCATCATCCAGTCATTCTTGAAGGCTCTAGTGGCACATCTGTCACTAGGTCCTGTGGGACATTTGGGTCCCCTTCCGAGAGATTTCCCTTCCTTATGCTTAAGCTAGCTGTAGTAGGTCTGTCCTTGACAACCAAAATATGTTTCAGAATGAACCAGATAATGTAGCAATTCAAACAATAATTAATAGCTAATAACTAATATTATTAGAATTCAGCTCCTATTTTTCTCTCATGTGCATGAAAGAAATAACACATTTCTGTCAAATCCTTAGAAGAAATCCAGTCACGCCATACCCACTGCATTTCTTTTTTTTTTTTTTTTTTAAGATTTTTAGTTTATTTTTTTGACAGACAGAGATCACAAGTAGGCAGAGAGGCAGGCAGAGAGAGAGAGAGGAAGGAAGCAGGCTCCCCTCTGAGCAGACAGCCCAATGCGGGGCTCAATCCCAGGACCCTGGGATCATGACCTGAGCCGAAGGCAGAGGCTTTAACCCACTGAGCCACCCAGGCGCCCCACCCACTGCATTTCTTTCTGCAGCAAGCTAAAGCACGGGATTCTCTCTGAAGGTGACACAATGAAGTTAATCTGAACCTTCAATGTGTGTAAGTGTATTAATATGCTTCTGTAATAGAAACCAAAATATAGGTACAATTCATGGTTATACTATGTTCAGCCTAGAATTAAGACGGCCAAAACAGCACCTCCAGGAAAGAGCAATTATTGCTGATATTCAGGAAGGAGTAATTTAGAAAATACTAGAATACCATAAGAGAGCAAAGAAGATTTTGTATTTTAATTTTGGTATTTTCAACTGTACTGTTACCTTATTATCATAACGGTCAGTTAAGGGAATGAAGAAGAAAAATGCAAATAAAGAAAGGTGCTTCAGCGAGATCCCAAATTGGGTTTTTTTTTTTTTCCTTTTATTGATGCCTGCAGGTGTCTTCAAAAACATTACCCAGCCAACCTACCTACTGCCAGCGTGGTTATTTGCTTCTACAATGAGGAATTTAACGCCTTGTTTCGGACCATGTCCAGTGTCATAAACCTCACTCCGCAGTACCTCCTTGAAGAAATCATTTTGGTAGATGACATGAGCGACTTTGGTAAGACAGAACGCCATCTGCCTATGTCATGGGCTCTGAAGCAGTGCGGTCTCTGACGGCCGGTGTGTGACTTTACCCTTTCTAGACATTTTCCACTTGGTGGGTGTCAAGGCAGAAGCTGTGGGCACACCGGTGGGGATGTAAGTGCTGGTCCCTGTCCTGTGGTGTGGGGCTCACGGGTGGTGAGCACTTCCATGAGGTGACTAAATGTAGGGGCAACATAAGACCAACCTGGTCTTCAGGGATCACGGAGGACATTCAGGAAGAAGCGACGGCTCCGCTGAGGTCTGAGGTGCCCAGCTGGAGAGGAGGGGAAGAGTGTTCTAGGCAGAGGCCATAGCACCATAAAGGCCCAGAGGCCAGAGGTAATGTGGTGAGTTGGGAATAGTTCTGTACTTCATGTAGTGTGTGTGTGTGTGTGTGTGTGTGTGTGTAGCATTGGGGGAGGGGGGTGGACATAAAACCAGAGCTATAACAAGACCACATGGCTTGTGAAGGGCACTGTTGGAATTTTCTGTGAAGTGGAGTGCTGTGACAGGCTTAATGCAGGGGAGTGACATGACCCAAGTCCTCCTCGGGAAATAATTCTTTTTTTTTTTAAAGATTTTATTTATTTATTTGACAGAGAAATCACAAGTAGGCAGAGAGGCAGGTGGTGGGGGAGGGGAAGCAGACACGGGACTTGATCCCAGGACCCTGAGATCATGACCTGAGCCAAAGGCAGAGGCTTAACCCACTGAGCCACTCAGGCGCCCCACAAAGAATTCTTTTTTTAAAAAGTTTTTTTAATACTCCATAGTGTATATGGACCACATCTTCCTTATCCATTCGTCCGTTGAAGGGCATCTTGGTTCTTTCCACAGTTTGGCAACCGTGGCCATTGCTGCTATAAACATTGGGGTACAGATGGCCCTTCTTTTCACTACATCTGTATCTTTGGGGTAAATACCCAGTAGTGCAATTGCAGGGTCATAGGGAAGCTCTGTTTTTAATTTCTTGAGGAATCTCCACACTGTTCTCCAAAGTGGCTGCACCAACTTGCATTCCCACCAACAGTGTAAGAGGGTTCCCCTTTCTCCACATCCCCTCCAACACATGTTGTTTTCTGTCTTGCTAATTTTGGCCATTCTGACTGGTGTAAGGTGGTATCTCAATGTGTTTTGTTTTGTTTTGTTTTTTTACATACAAAAATAGCTTTATTATCTACTTTTGAAAAACAGTGTTAGGTATAATTTCTTCATTTTTTAATTTTTTTTTATTTTTCAGCGTAACAGTATTCATTATTTTTGCACCACACCCAGTACTCCATGCAATCCATGCCCTCTCCAATACCCACCACCTGGATCACCCAACCTCCCACCCCCCGCCCCTTCAAAACTCTCAGATTGTTTTTCAGAGTCCATAGTCTCTCATGGTTCACCTCCCCTTCCAATTTCCCTCAACTCCCTTCTCCTCTCCATCTCCCCTTGTCCTCCCTGCTATTTGTTATGCTCCACAAATAAGTGAAACCATATGATAATTGACTTTCTCTGCTTGACTTTCCACAGTTTGGCGACTGTGGCCATTGCTGCTATAAACATTGGGGTACAGATGGCCCTTCTTTTCACTACATTTGTATCTTTGGAGTAAATACCTAGTAGTGCAGTTGCAGGGTCATAGGGAAGCTCTATTTTTAATTTCTTAAGGAATCTCCACACTGTTCTCCAAAGTGGCTGCACCAACTTGCATTCCCACCAACAGTGTAAGAGGGTTCCCCTTTCTCCACATCCCCTCCAACACATGTTGTTTCCTGTCTTGCTAATTTTGGCCATTCTAAGTGGTGTAAGGTGGTATCTCAATGTGGTTTTAATTTGAATCTCCCTGATGGCTAGTGATGATGAACATTTTTTCATGTGTCTGATAGCCATTTGTATGTCTTCATTGGAGAAGTGTCTGTTCATATCTTCTGCCCATTTTTTGATATGATTGTCTGTTTTGTGTGTGTTGAGTTTGAGGAGTTCTTTATAGATCCTGGATATCAACCTTTTGTCTGTACTGTCATTTGCAAATGAGTATGATGCCTCCATCAGAAAGGATGAATACCCAACTTTTGTAGCAACATGGACGGGACTGGAAGAGATTATGCTGAGTGAAATAAGTCAAGCAGAGAGAGTCAATTATCATATGGTTTCACTTATTTGAGGAGCATAACAAATAGCATGGAGGACAAGGGGAGTTAGAGAGGAGAAGGGAGTTGAGGGAAATTGGAAGGGGAGGTGAACCGTGAGAGACTATGGACTCTGAAAAACATCTGAGGGTTTTGAAGGGGCGGGGGGTGGGAGGTTGGGGGAACCAGGTGGTGGTTATGGAGAGAGCACAGATTGCATGGAGCACTAGGTGTGGTGCAAAAAACAATGAATACTGTTAACGCTGAAAATAAATTTTAAAAATGAAATTAAATAAATAAATAAATAAATAAAAATATTTTACTGGTTAAAAAAAAAAGTTTTTTTAAAAATATTTATTTATTTGAGAGAGAGAGAGAGAAAAGAGGGGAGGGGCCAGGGAGAGGAAGAGAGAAATGCAAGCAGACTCCACCCTGAGCCCGAATAGGGCCTGATCCCATGACCCTAAACCAAGATGAGGCCTGAGCCGAAACCAAGACTCAGAGGCTCAACCTCCTGCAGCAGCTCGGCGGCCCTCCTGAAAGAATTCTCGTCGCACCCCCGGAAGCCCAGTGCGTGTTCCTCCCTGCCCGCTGGCTGGAAGGAGTTGTGATACTAGCACAAGATCTGATTGAAAGCACTTGGCCTTTGAAATGAGTCATCTGTTTTATACCCGAATTATAAACCTGAGGCAAGCCAAGAGGACCCAGATGAATGAAAACTTCTTGGAGTCTGCAGATGCCTGTGGGGTCCATTCCCCACGGAAGCAATATGTCAGTACTGGAGAGATACCCTGCCTGAAAGTTAACCTAATCTGCTGTGAATCTGACCCTTGGCGGGCTGGGAAAGGAAGGAGGGACAGAAGGAAGGTAAATTGGCAGGGGTAGAAAAGAAGCCGTCCCGGGAGACTCACCAGTGGGGAAGTGACTCTAGGTGTGTCAGATGGAAGGTGGAAAAAACTGCTCAAGCTAATGTTGGCCGCATGTAGGAATTTCGCTCGGTGGCCAGGCACTACCGTTTATGACATTATTTCTCCGGGAGCCATTGTTTGTTTCTACTGTTGTGCGCAGGAGGTGAGGTGCGGAGACGGTCAGATTCCTAACCTGATCAGTTGCACTGAGACCCACATCTGGCCGCATGCTGGGCGGGGGGTGGGGTGGGAGGGGATCTTCTGCGAGACTGTGGAGTTCTGACCACTCACCTAGAAGGACAAGGGTCCTGCTGTGGACATACAGTTCCAGGATGGCCATGGGATAGCTCCCCAAGCCTTTCAGAACGATGCCATGATGGGACAGCTGGGTGGCTCAGTCGGTTAAGCATCTGCCTTCGGCTGAGGTCATGATCCCAGGGTCCTGGGATCGAGTCCCACGTTGGGCTCCCTGTTCAGTAGGAAGCCTGCTTCTCCTGCCCCTGCCTGCTGCTCCCTGTTTGTGCTTTTTCTGTCAAATAAATAAATAAAATCTTTAAAAAGAAAAGAAAAAAGAAAAAAAAAGGACCACGCCATCAGTTCAGAGGCGCACCCAGTGACCACTCAGAAACTTCGGCCCCAGGGGAATCACCACCGGTGCCCAGCATCTGGCTGCTGCTGGACCAGATGTGCCGACTTCTCCTCCTCCGTCCGGGCTCGCCTAGGATGTGGTTTCACCTGCTGCACCAAGGAGGCTACTGTCTGACCCATTCAGATGCTCAAACACACCCAAGAAACCCTATCCCTTACCCCCCCACTCCCACCCCGCCGCTCACTCTGCTGCTGTGGGTGGTCCTCCCCGGGGACGGAGCTGAGACACTTTGCACAGCTGAAAGCGAGAAAGTCGGGTTGCTCGGGAGCACCACAGCTCAGGCTTTTTTGATTAAAATTTCAACTGATTTATCAAAATAGAGGTATTTCATTAGAAACACAGAAGGATGTGTGCAGAGTATCTCAATGCCGGGTATCTTTCTCTTCCTCATGTATGGTGAAGTGTTTGTTTGTTTGTTTGTTTTTAAAGATTTCATTTATTTATCAGAGAGAGGGAGAGACAGAAAGAGGAAGCATGAGAAGGGAGAAGGTCAGAGTGAGAAGCAGACTCCACATGAAGTTGGGACCCCGATGCGGGACTTGATCCCGGGACTCCAGGATCATGACCTAAGCCAAAGGCAATCACTTAACCCACTGAGCCACCCAGGCACCCAGGGTGAAGTTTTTAAAATTAGAACTTCTGTGGAAGAACACGGCTTTTAGGAATTAGTCGAAATTGTGATAAGTTGTTTTATTCTCTGTAGTTGTAGTTTATACATTGTCAAGAGTTGAGTTTTGTTTTGTTTCATTTGTTTTTCCCAGATGATTTGAAAGAGAAACTAGACCATCACCTGGAAATTTTTCGGGGAAAGATTAAATTCATAAGAAACAAGCAGAGAGAGGGGCTGATCCGATCGAGGCTGATGGGAGCTGCTCGTGCTTCAGGTATGAGCCTTTCATTCATTCGGGACCTGACCCGTTATCTGTGTGCTGGAGCCCTTCCTGCCTGAACAGGACCTCGTGGGCCCCTGCAAGTCTCCACTGGCATGAACAGAAGACCAGAAGTGCCCTTCAGCCAGAGGAATCTTGGACTCTGAAAGTACCCATTCTGCTCCAAAATGTCGATTCGTTATTTCGGAAGGCAGGTATATTTTTTTGCAGGGGCCATAATGTCAGCCCCCGTCACTGGATGGGTTCCCCCAGATACAGACTGAGATGGAGCTGCCCATGCAGCCAGCAGAGCAACACTGCATGGGGACAGCGGGGGCCATGGTGCAGCGGCCCGTCCCATGGGAAACCCCGAGGCTAAGTGCTCCGGTGGGCTGTGCGGCTCTCCAAAGCTCAGGTGAGCTACTGGGGAGCTCCAAAGCACAGATCGCCCAGGAGAGGGGTCCAGCTCAGGCTTTCCACCCCCAACACACATGCACACATATACACACACTCAGAGTGTGCTTGTCATTAGCTGCGAGTCCCTGGGGAGGCTGGGGGACATTGGTGTGACTACTGCGGCAGATCCCAAAGCCTGGGAAACTGTCAGGCCGGGTCGCCTGAAGGGAGTCTGAGCTGAGAGGCAGTGGCATCACTCCTGTCCCTGTCTCTGTGGTCACGTGGCCTCCTCCCTGTGTCCACGTCTCCCTTGGGTCAAGGGCCCCCCGATACTCCAGCAGGACCTCACCATTATGAATTCCATCTGCAACAACCCTATTTCCAAATACAGTCACCTTCTCAGGTACTGGGGGTTAGGACTTGAATATATCTTTTGGGGGGGACACAAATCAACACATAAAACTACCATAGAGTTTTGGGTGTTTTTGTTTTGTTTTTTTTGTGTTTTTTTGTTTGTTTTTTTAAAAAGATTTTATTTATTTATTTGACAGAGAGACAGACAGAGGTCACAAGTAAGCAGAGAGGCAGGCAGAGAGAGAGGGGGAAGCAGGCTCCCTGCTGAGCAGAGAGCCTGATGCGGGCCTCGATCCCAGGACCCTGAGATCATGACCTGAGCTGAAGGCAGAGGCTTAACCCACTGAGCCACCCAGGCGCCCCTGTTTTGTTTTTTAAAGAGAAAGTCTTTCATTTTTTATTTTGAAAAATGTCAAAGCCACAGAACGCTTACATAAACCTTCCCCTAGATTTACAGGATGCTGATATCTGACAATACACACACTAGCTCTCCTCTGCCATCCCTCCCCCTACACACGCAACACACACACACACACACACATTGCCTCTATGTCTAAAAGTAAGATCAGCTTATACTTTTTTTTAAACTGTTTTCCTATACTTTGCTTTACTAGACTTTTAGAATGAATTGTATGGTGTTCCCCCGCCCCCATCCTTTTCTTTTTGCTGAATATCTAGTAAAACAGATTATCTGTGTTTGGAAAATTACATAAAATTGTCCTATAACCTGTCAAGGCACTGGTATCTTTTCTGGTTTCCTCTCTAATCCAGGTATTTTTTGAGGAGTGGGTTTTAAAGTTTTCAAACATCAGTAATTGCTCATCACTAGCTCAATTCCTATTGTGGTTGGAATTTGTGGACTGTTCTCTGGAGACTTTTTTGTCTTCAAGCTGGGTCAATTTTTCAAGACTTCTATGTGTTTTTAAAAAGAATACATTGTATCTTTTTGGTTGTAGGTTCCATATATGTCTAATTTTGTTTTTCAAATATTCTGTATTCTCATCCATCTAATTTGACTCGGCCCATCCATATCCAGTGGATTATGCTACAATCTTCCAACTATGATTCTCGATCTGTCCATCCTCTTCTGGCAGTTTCGTCGGGCTTGCATGTGCCCATCTGTCCATATTGGCCCGCCCCACCTGGGGACAAGGACGTGCTCCTGGCTTCGAAGCTGTGGGGTCCTGTGGGGTGGGCAGCAGCTCGTGATCCCTCATTAATGTATTCACGTGTTCACTCCTCCAGTCAAGGGTTTATCCAGCACTTACTATGGGCTATCCGGGCACATTTATTCTTTTTTCTTCATTTGTATCAACTCTATTGAGATACGCTTCACATATATTCTACCCTCCTGAACAGGGAGATGGGTTGTCGTGTGACGTTAACACGTGTGCACGTGTATAGACTGGTCTCTCCTGGAGGAAGTAGCAGTTGCCCTATCGCCAAGTGACTCTGCGGTGGGGGCCTGCAGTTCTGTCCCCGGCTGTCACTCACACTTTGTCACTTACTCATCCCCCCCCTCGCTCTACCCCCGATGACCTTCTTGCCGCTCCTCGGACACACCGAGTGTGCTGCTATCTCAGAGCCTCGGCGCATCATGTCTCCCCCCTGGAATTTTCTCCGTGTGTCTTCATGACCCGCCGCATCACTTTGCTCAGTTCTCTGTTCCAATGCTTCTTGATCAGAGAGGCCTTTCCAAGCCACCCAGTGTGAGATAGCAGACCCCTGCCTCTCTCCATCATCCTTACTTTGAGAGCTTTCTCTTCCTGATGTTTGTTGCCTCTGCCATCTGTCTGGGTTGGCAGTGCTGCTCACAGGATGACAGAAGTTGCCCATAAACCGCAGGAGCTGAGATGGAGCGCTGTGAACTCCGGGTTGTGGCTCAGGGAACAAAGGGAAATGACTGGGATGGGGGAGAGCAGTCCACTGGGAGAATCAGAAGGTGGGCTTTTCGCAAACAAGAAGGAGAAAGGAGAAAGCCATCATCAGATGGTGTGAACCTAAAGGGAAGGAGGTATTCCGCCGGCCGCACCCCCCATCCCCCGGCTGCAGGGGAGCAGAGCCGGTTGGTTTGGAAGTAGCCTTGGGTAAGTAGGAAATGCCAGTGTTGCCCTGGACCCAAGGATTCATGCTGCCTGCGGGGAAGGAGGAGCTTCCTATCAGCAAGGTAGATGGGGGCCAACAGCCTCTTCTAGGGAGGGTCAGGGTTTACTTTTTTTTTTTTTAAGATTTTATTTATTTATTTGATAGAGACACAGCGAGAGAGGGAACACAAGCGGGGGGTGTGGGAGAGGGAGAAGCAGGCTTCCCACCAAGCAGGGAGCCCAATGCAAGCTTGATCCTAAGACCCCGGGATCATGACCTGAGCTGAAGGTAGATGCTTAATGACTGAGCCATGCAGGCGCCCTGGGTCATGGCTTACATAAGGTAAGAAAGCTGTTAAGAGAATTTCGTGGAAAAAAATTAGTGTAGAGAAAGTCACTTTACATGAGGACCTTTGGAAAGGGTAAGAGGGTCATCCACTGTGGAAGGAAGGTGTTGGGGGAGCAAAGGCAGCGCGGCCTTGGGGGTGAGGACGCAGGAGAGTATCTTGCACGGAACTGGTTTGGACAGTCAGCGACTGGCCAGGAAGGCGGAGATGAGCTGTGGGTTTCCGAGGATACCTACAGCAGAGGGTTCAAACCTAGCGTGGTGCTGAGAGTGGGCGTGTTGCCTCGTGTTCAACAGAAGGAGGACCTGTGTCGTCTAGGATGGTAGACGGAACATTGCCCTCCCTAGGAGGTTTCCTAATCCCCAGAACCTGCTAATGGGCCTTATGTGGCCCACATGATTAAAAGGAAAGCCCTGAAGAGTTCTGTTATTTGATTGGGCTAAACTATTCTTCCATTCCGCTGCTGGGTTACATTGAGGTTATTTCTACTTGGGGCTCTTACCAATGCACAAATCCTTGGGTCCCTGTCTCTGGGCAGATAGGTGCGGCATGGCCATGGAGCGTATGTCCGGAAGTGAAATTGCTCGGATCCGGAGTGCACGGATGCGCTGATGTACGAGGTGATGTCAGACTAGCGATAGAAAGAGAATATTCCAGTAACCCCGAAGGGTCTGTACCATACCAACTGTATGGATGAACACATGTCGTTGTGAGGGAGCCAAAGAAGCTAAATGCAAAAGAATAAAGTTGGAAAATCAGCAGGACTAAGCTACAATATTGTTATGGATGCATGATTAGATGAAAAACTAAAAAACAACAACAACCAGGAAGTTATTGCCATAAACCTTTGGTTATAGCAGAGTGTCGAATGGGTGGTGGTAGGAGTGGGGGAGCACAAAATCCTAGGATGCTAACCAGGTGCTACATTTTGATTACGTGGTACTTACATGTGTGTTTACTTTCTGATACATCATTGAGCTCTACATTTATTTTTTTTAAAGATTTTATTTATTTATGTATTTGACAGAGAGAGATCACAAGTAGGCAGAGAGGCAGGCAGAGAGAGAGGAGGAAGCAGGCTCCCTGCTGAGCAGAGAGCCCGATGCAGGGCTCCATCCCAGGACCCTGAGATCATGACCTGAGCCGAAGGCAGAGGCTTAACCCACTGAGCCACCCAGGTGCCCCAAGAATATTTTGATGTTATTTAAAATAAATGAGATACAATGAGCTATGTTTAAATGTAAAAAACTGTAGAAACTAGAGACAGGCAGAAAAGAAAAGGAAATAAAGGAGGAGGAGTCTGTGTGAGGCTGGCAAGTCATTTGTTGTCTTTTTTAAAAATATTTTATTTCTTTGACAGACAGCAATCACAGGTAGGCAGAGAGGCAGGCAGAGGGTGGGGAAGCAGGCTCCCTGCTGAGCAGAGAGCCCTATCGGGGGCTTGATCCCAGGATGCCGGGATCATGACCTGAGCCGAAGGCAGAGGCTTAACCCACTGAGCCCCCAGGTGCCCCCATTTGTTGACTTTTAAAAGCGGCCCCACCCCGAGAGAGAGAGGAAGTGCCCCTGGATTGCAGGTGGCCAGTAAGGCTCTCCACAGGGAAGGTGGAGTGAGCAGTCGGGGGTCCTTGGTACATCCCAGACGCTCTCTGGGAGGAAGGCAGGGAAGGGTCCTTATCAGGCGGATTTGAGCTCACGCCCCTCACTCTAGGCCCTGTGGAGAAGTTGGCTTAATCTGGCAAGATGCAAATCTGGGATTAGATGGGATTCAGGTGAATTCTGTCTAACAGGCTATCTCTATGAACACGAGAGAGCATTCTCCTTCCTCTAACTG